AATTAACTTTTCATATTGGACTGAAAACCTAAATAAGAGTTTTAAAATAGCTGCAATAAAGAAATACAAATGTCGTAGGCTGTGGAAGTGATTATAAAAGAGATTAAGTGCACACAACTGTTTATAACATATAGGCTTCTGCAAAATATTTTTAATTTCATGGGTTGTTGGAAAGGTGTGCCTGTTTCACTGAATCTGAACCCTATACGTACGTATATTACAAGCAGAGCTGTTACATTCTTTATCCTTATGAATGCTCCTTTCATACCAAAAGGCATTTCAGCAGTATATTCCTGGGATAGGAATGCTTGTGGATAGAATATATATAATTTTAGTGTGAAATACAGTTCAGGATAAAGACTTAAATTAACTTTCTGGCCGAGATCTTCCTCAGAGTTTGAGGCATCCCTGAAAAGGTTCAATGTGCCATCTCTGAAAAGTTCACAAGTATAACCAGCTCTTTAATTGAAACTGGCAGTTGATTGAAATAGAGAGCAGCATAGCCATTTTATGTTATGCTGACTTGTTTGAACTATAAAACACGTTAATCTCAATGTAATAATCAGCAGAAACTAGTAAGGCTGTCCATAAGCAATAAATCATTATTTTAAACTTAATTGCTAGTGTCAATATGTTCCAGGGGTCAGATTAGCTAGCTTGGTTGTGTATAACACTTATTATTTGCATTTTAAAGTCAAATTTAGTCTCATAGAAAACTCCGTTATTATAGCCGGTTAGATTATTGGTCTGTTTAGCCCAGTATTGTTTATTCTGACTCCTGAGTCAGGATACTGATAATCAAAAGTCAAGGATATTTTTGGTCCTTTAAAGTCAAGGTGCCAGGAATTGGCCCTGGCATTTTCACTATATTTGGCACATGCTCACTAAGTGATTCTGAACTTGATAAGAAACAAATGATTTTGAAGAGATTATAATTTATTTTAACTAGACTTAAGTCTTGTTTTTTCATTTTATTTCTTCTTTGAATAAAAAAACCTTCAAGGTTAGGTCAGTCTGGGGAAAAGAAATGGGATTTAACATGATACCGAACTATATGTGGATGTTTTGGAATTGTTCATTGTTGGATTTATCAAGCATGGGGTATAACAAAATGAGTATTCTCTTACAATGGGATAGCAGTAGTCTTAAGACTGATTATATTTGCTCTCTCATTTGGTTTTTGAATTGGCTCTCTATTGATAGAGTGGAGAGACAGGCCAGTGTTACTCTGTGTCAAGGTTTAACTCTATTTTTAAAAACACAGCTGTTTCATACATATTTGATCATATGTTTTGGTTTTTTTCCTTTGGGAAAGCAAACAAAGGGGTATGTGAAAAATGGGGGGGGAGTTGAGCTTTGTTAACAAATTACAGATAGTCCTCACTTAATGACCGCTTAATGACGGTTCAAAGTTTTGATGCCCTTGGAAAAAGTGCTTTATGACCTGTGCTTGCACTTACGACTGTCACAAACTGTCACATCACCCCTGCAGTCATGTGATCGTGATTTGTGACCTTTTTTACCACTGTCCTTAAGCAAATCATGTGGTTGTTAAGCAAATTCCAGCAAAAACCATCCACTGGGGAAGCTGGATTTGCTTAATAACCACAGTGACTCACTTAATGACCATGGTGACTCACTTAATGACCATTGTAAAAATGGTCATAAAATCGGGTCCGGTCACATGCTGACTCGCTTAACAACCGCCCCACTTAATGACCAATTTTCTGGTCCCTATTGTAGTCGTTAAGCAAGGACTACCTGTATTTGTAATTTATAGCTGGCTTCATAATCTGAGCAGACAGCTTTTTCTAAGAAATAACACACTGAGGATGTTTTTCTCCAGTTACAAAAATACTTCTGAAGCCAAAATATATGAAACTTTCATCATATTTTCTTGACATAGACTTACTTTTATCAACATTACTGGTGGATTTGTCATTTTTAAAGTTGTCTTACCTTCTCATAAAGTCTTCTCATTTTTAAAAGTTAGAGAAATAAAATAATAATGAAAAGGCTAAACTTGAGAAACACTAAACTTTACTCATGTCATTAATACTGAACTTCATTCCACAGACACTCCAAATATTACTGATCACCTTGTAGGAAACCGTCCTCTAATCACAGCACTTCTCTCAAAACTCCCTGCTGATACTGCTATTACTGCTTGCTCTACCTGGGCATGTTCAGGTAGAGCAGTGTTGTCCAAACTTGGCCACTTTAAGATGAGTGGACTTCTATATAGGTGTTTCTAAACCTTGGCAACTTGAAGATGTGTGGACTTCAACTCCCAAACTTCCCCATGGCTGGCTCATCTTAAAGTGGCCAGGTTTGGACAACACTGAGGTAGAGTAAGAGCAAGTTTTGATTATCCTATAGCTTTGCAAGCACAAGCAACGAAGCTTGCATGCACAGAGCTAGAGCCAACTTGGAACTTGCTTGGGACAGACAGAACAGCAACATGTTTAGGCAATGATCCTGCTTTGCATACATAAGCCCTGGCCTACCAATTAGGTCAACTTTCAGATTTGTTTATGACACCCCCCAAGCAATCATGACTGACAGTTTGAGAATGTCTGGCTTAATGTACCTGAAGGTATACCTGATTTTTTTTTTTAATAAATGATACTGCGCTTCAGTGGTTAGATGGCCTAGACATGGGTATCTGAACTTAGATCTTTTTAACATTCATATTTTAAAGTGTTTTTAAGTTAGGCTAAATGTTATTATTTAATGTAAGCCCATGTATGAGATGCCATACACTAAATAAATAAATAAATGTACCTGAAGGTAGATGGCGATGTAATATTTTGCAGATTTCATCCTTGCAGGAATAACACATTCTCCAAACAGAAAAGTTTCTGGTGAGCAAGTTGACTTGTATGTACAGTATACGTGTCTCCATTAAAATATATGCATGCGATGTAAGAATTCATAGGTACAATCCATAAAACAATGTAACCGTTCATAATAAGTAATAAAGCAGTATAATCAAATGAGGTTAAATGCCAAATTGAATATAAATATTTTAAGCATGCAACTAAATTGTAACACTGTTAATTCAAGCTTTATTTCTAGGAACAGGGTGGTAGTGGTATTCCATTGTCTGGGTGTCTCAACGAAAAGGCTTCCCCCTTTGCTGAATACCAAATGAGTATCCCTAAGATATGTCAGAAAATCCTCCAATGATGATTGCAGTGGTTGGTCAGAAGTACACTGGCATATGCTTAGTAACAGCTGCTAAGATCTCTGTACTTCTCACTGGAAATTATGAACAATCCCTTCCATAGAAGAATGGCAAATTTAAGTTATAGAAGTACGCAGTGATATCAAAATGAATTACATATTTGAAAAACAAAGCTAATATAGAATTTAATTCAGTGCAAAACCATTTTTGACTATACATGTTTGAATTTTGTTAAAATTAATTTAAGCTTTCCTTTGATTATACCTCTAAATCTAATTTAAAAACTAATAATTGTAATTATAGGAAAATGCTTACATCCTAATCCCCAGTTCTGTAGGACCTTATGGGTTAATATCAGAACTTCAGACCTGACCATGTCAAACTCAGCCTTGGCAGTTCTTTCATTAGATGTGTTATATTGCTTGTATAACAATATACAATATATTGTCTATAATATTGTTTATATTATATAGAGCATTGTTTCTCTACCTTGACAACTTGAAGATGTATGGACTTCAACTCCCAGAATTCCCCAGCCAGCCATGGGGAAGTTTGGGAGTTGAAGTCCACACAACTTCAAGTTGCCAAGGTTTAGAAACACCTATATAGAGTGTGCTCACAGTAGACTTGTGGAAAGGATTTTGCACTAGCTGGACAAGCAGGACAACATGGTGGTGATGATGATAATAATCCCATTTTGTTATAAATAGAGGTATACACTGAGATTCTATTTTTCAGCCATTTATGGGCATATTATGACCTAATATGATAATTTTCTAAGTGCAATTCTTAAAGTAGCAATTTACTTTGTGTTTTATTTATTTCATTATTAATCTCCCATATAGGTCCATATAGAGGAGATTAAAAATCTAAAGAAATAAATCATTCCAATCAGGGGCTACTTGTCCTGTCAGATTCAGCATTGTTTCAGCTTCCTGAAACTGAACTATTATTTCTTACTTATTATTAACCAAGTATATTTTTCCTCAGCCAAAAGAAACACGTGCATATAATTGGGTATATTGCTGAGCATAGGTTTCCTGGCAGGTATAATCTGACACTTATAAAAAAGGAGAGAACATATGTGATTTTAAGAGATAGGCCATTCCACAGGAAGACATTTATTCATTTTGTTTGCTTGTTGCTTGTTTTATTAGATTTATAGACTGCCAGAATTGAAAGACTTTTGGTAGTTTGCAATAGTAATAGTTGTGCTGAACTCCTGTGCTCACTTATTTGGGAGCAAGCTCCATTTAATTCAGGGAGATAAAATAGAGAGTATTGGGTTGTTTATGTTTACTTGACACATCCCTTTGAAAAGAAGATGTCAGAGGCTTATGAAGCAGTAAAGCAAGGAAGCATTTTTATAAAAGTAAAAACTAATAGAGGCTAAAAGCAGTTATTTGTTGTTGGAGGCTGAAAACTTCTGTTCTGAATAAATACATGAGCAATAGGCTTTTCAGCAATGTTATATTTTTTCCAAGATATAATGGTAGTTACTCCAAAAAGTTCTATTTATCTTGCTATTTATTGTGAGATTATCAGTGACACTTAACTTGTTATTTGTGCTTCCATTTTATGATTATGTAAGCTTAAATTATGAATCAACATCATTTCCTCAGTTTGAACTTCCCCTCTGGATCCTTATGTTGATCATACTTATTTTATTTTGATGTGTAGAAATCTGTAAGAAGAGAAATTATGCAATTAACAAAAATAATATGTAGATTTTTTTTTTAAATGTTGTATCTATCTGGGATTTCTAGGAGTCTTGACAGAGAAATAATTTGGTATTATCTTATTTATTTTCCAGTGAGGATGAAATGGAAGAAGCAAATGGAAATAACCCTATTGACATTGAGGTTGAACAAAACAAGGAGAGCAAAAAAGAGGTATTTTCCCTGATAATGCTTTATTGCATTAAGTACTGTGAACCTGTTCTCTAAACCAATGTTCCTCAACCTCAACAACTTGCTGGCTGGGGAATTCTGGGAGTTGGAGTCTACACAGCTTAGTTGCTGAGGTTGAGAAACACTGCTCTAAACAATTTATTTAAACTTTACTAAATTGCTGTTTTCATAAAACAAGTTCTGTGATCCAAGGATCTCATTCTAATTACTTTAGTGTATCTGGGGGGCATTTGAAAAATACATATTCTATTCCATGGATGAATTCTTTATGCAACCCAGCTTCTTCTAGCACAGTTTGCTGTACAAATTCATAATTATTCCAGAACAGTCTCAATTTAAGAGTACCTGTTGATTTGCTTCTCAGTGTTTCGGTTGAATGGGGAGGACCTACTCTCTTGCTTGCTTTTTGTTAGTTTTGCTACCATTTCTTCCCATGCTTACTTAATCAGCCATAAAACTACCATAAGACATGGTGATGGATGCAAAGAGAATAAGCAAGTTAAATGTTATCCTGATAAGATGGAAGCACTGCGCTATTTCAGGACTGATTGTTGATCTTGTTTTGGGTTCCCCTTTAACAATCAGATGCCCATTGTGAGATTTTTTAAATAAGATTTTGCCCCCAGATGCCCAGATAATAACAACGACCAGCAGTCTTCTTGACTTACCAATCCCTTTTCAGCTTGGGTAATTCAACTGGCTCAAATGGAAGAATCCATATTACGGGAAATATTCTGAACATTCATTTCAGGTTTGTTAAAACATTGAAAGCTGAATTGTAGCAGATCAGAGTTAATGCTCTTCCAGCTTGGTTTTGTGTATTCTTATCAACAGTATTTCAGTATCATCACTTGTCATTATTCCTTTATTTTGTGACGCAAAGGGATGAGCCAGGGACTTGCTACATGCAAAATAATGTGTTCTGTCATTGAGACTAGGGCCTGGCTCAGGGATGTTGGTTGCTTCTTTGCTTTTGGGCACAATTCATTTTGATTTTTAAGACCCAAAATGGCCATAGATCAGAGTATCTACCTCCTGAAATTTGTCTGGATACTTCATTCAGCAATCAAAGTCTTACTGATTTTGCAGTAAGTTTTTTAGCTCACAGTAAAAAATTAAATAAAAACTTTAAAAAGCAAATTTTTAGCACGTAGTCAAAAATTGCCTTTAGGGAAAGCCTAACTTAGTGCTAATTTAGAAAGGGTTTACGTTGTTGTTGTTAGTGTCACTTCAGGGGTTAAATATTGTAAGTTTGGCTGCATTTTTATTATACAATTTTAACTTACATTATTTTGCAAGCATCCTTGAATATTAATGGTAAGGCTGGAAATATTTAATGTTATTTATTTAATTCAATTTAGGCTGCACCCAACTCACGGTAGCTCACAACATAATAAACAAAACAAAACAAAAAAATCACAATACAGACAAAACAAGATGGGATCTGGTTGCTCTATACAAAAGGATAGACATCCAACAAGAGGCTCCATGCATCAAGGCCTAGGAGAGCAACCAGGTCTTCAAGGCCAAATGAAATGCTAACAGGGTG